GATCTACTGATTAGCCGCTTTTTCATTTTGAATAGAAAGAATTATGTACATACATTTTTAGCAAGACTTTTTTTTTAAAACTATACATTGATTCCATGCCATGCAGGAGCAGGGAAACACTCACAGACAGTAATTTTGGATGAACTTTGGAAAATACCTCTGGATACCAGTTCAAGCAAATTATCACATTTATAAGCATATTCCTGTATAAATAGCAACGTTTCAACAGCATTGTGCAATTAGACAAAGAAGGAAATTGTCCAAAAATAATATCCTCTTCTTCTCCTCCCCACCACTACTCCCTTATGAGGTTACAGATTCAGTTTTTAAAAAGAGAAAATGTTGATTCTTATGAAGTTCTGCAACAGACACAGGAGGAGCAAATATTTATTCTGCTATTGACCTTCTCTGGCAAATAGTGTTGTTAGGTGGTTTACAGCTTCGCACTTTAGGGAGCTGAAAAATCATTTAGAAAAAGAAGGCAAGGAAGGCTTGAAAAGAGACAACAGATTGTGTTGAGTGACTGTCATGAATTCTGTGAATAGCTGCATTCCAAGAAGGCACTATCACAATAAATAGGACTAAATAAAATCCATGGATTTTTAGAGTGACATCTGTCCAAACAAAAGCAACCTTTCCCCTTCCTGAGATGCCAACATTTTTGTCAAGTCTATTGAGCCAAAGAAATAATCAGCACCTGCTTTAAGATATACAATATATGCTGGGTGGCTGCATGCATACTTAAGCCTTTAGGTTTGCACATGCCAATCTTGTCACTAGGTCAAGATTTTGCCATTAAATGGATTGGGAGGCTTCCTTCTCAGTCACTCACTCATTCCCTGGTCATCTCCAAAATGGGTTACTGTAATGTGATCTACATGGTGGTGCCCTTGAAGAGCATCCAGGAACTACTGCAGGTGCAAAATGCACTGGCATAGGAAGTTAAATGTACTCTTCACTTGGCATACAACTATGCCTGTTCTGTAAGCTGCACTGGTTGCCAGTTTGCTTTTAGGTTCAATTCAACATGCTGGTAATGACCTATGAAACCGTAAATGGTATGGGGCTAAGTTATTTGAGGGACTGCCTCTCCCTGGTTACATTTCTCCATGCCATCAAGATTGGCAAGAGAGGCATGTTACAGATCCTGTCTATCAAGGTATATCATCTGATAAGATCCAGGAGGAGAGCCTTTTCTGCCATGGCATCTGTCCTTAGGAACTTCAGTCTAACTCTGAGGTTAGACTGGTCCCAACTTTGTTGGCTATTCAGAAGACTCACAATACATGGCTTTGTCATCATGTTTGGTGATCCAGTAGTGGCATGAAGCCTATTAGCTGGCTGTAGTTAGTTATTATATTGACTGTATTTTCCTGAAGATTAAGTTTTAACTGTTTTAATTTGATTTTTAATGATTTTCATTTTGGTTGCTTATTTGTAATTATTATTGCTTATTGGTTAGTCTGTGAGCAACCCAGAGTCACATATGTGAGATGGACAGTTACATTAAGTAAATAAGTTAGTAAGTAGGTAAGTAAAATACCAAACATCTGGTCAGCATGGGCCATACTAATCAATTTATGTGGTCCAGAGTGGGTCCATCTCTCTCCAAGTAGATAATTATTGTCATAGGCAACCATGTTTGTATGGGTGCATAATAAAGAGCTGGGTGGGCAATCCAAAACTGATGGACAGGGATGCAAAAATAGAAGTTTGTGTTACATCCAGTCTGCCTGTATCCCTTCTGTGTTTATGGTCAGCTAGAGGACATGCCCTCAAATGAGGAGAAGTGGAGCCAGAAGTATTGAATAGTAGCAGTCCAAGTTCCCAGGACCCCTCACCCTCACCCACTGACAAGTTTCTCATAAATCAATCCCTTTGTCCTAGGTCGGGGTCGGCAACCTTAAACACTCAAAGAGCCACTTGGACCCATTTCCTAGAGAAAAGAAAACACTGGGGGAGGGAGCTTGATTGAAGAGTTTAATTAAAAAGAAATAGAGGCTGCTCTCTCTCATTCTCTCTCTCTCTCTCTCTCTCTCTCTCTCTCGCTCTCTCTCTCTCTCCCTCCCTCTCTCTCCCTCTCTCCAATCTTCTGCTCACCTGGCAAGTTGGCTTCACACTCCAACAAGCTAACATACATTCTTATTGGGCTGGCTCTCTCCTGCCCTTGGTCTGCCAGTCCTCTTCCCCCACTCAGTGTGAGTGTGTGCATGTGTGTGTGTGTGTGTGTGTGTGTATGTGTGTGTGTGAGACACACACACACACACACACACACACACACAGAGAGAGAGAGAGAGAGAGAGAGAAGGGAAGCGCAAGTGCCTCTCTCTGTCTCTCTCTCTCTGCAAATGGCGGAGGAGGCTGGGAGCCTCAGGAGAAGGCTCAAAGAGCCACATGCAGCTCCAGAGCAGCGGGTTGCTGACCCGCATCCTAGGTCATGATGCTTAAGGAAAATTCTGAAGCAAAGGGCTGAAATTGATGATCTGAGTAGCTATTAAAAGGCATGGAAGTGCTAATTGGAAAGTGGACTCTGTAGCTCCCAAGTAATATGTTTCAGCTTATTTATTGCCCTCTCTCTGAAAATGATGAGAACAATTCTTCAAAACTCAGTTCTGATCTGTATGTGCACCGCTTTGCTATTTCTTGGGGCCTCATCTTTTCTCTTGCTTCTCATCTGGATTTGTAGCCTCATTTATTTGTTGACTGGGTTCAATCTGTGCCTGTCCTTTTTTACCACAAGCATACTCTAGCCTCAAGGTATTGTAGGGAATTTTTTTCCAAAGGCTGCTAATTTTCTATGCACCATGAAACAATCTAAGCTTGCTTATTTCTTATGGTGACAGATTTATAGGTGGCTGATTTAATGTTCTAGCAAGCAGCTGATTTGGCACAGAAAACTCTGGCCCTTAAATTTCAGTAAAGAGAGAACAAAATAGGGCCTTTTGGATTTGAGGATATTTGTGAGACTAAGGGAGAAGATGGGGCCTTAAATGTTTTAAATGCTCAAGACATCAGTTTCAATTCTTAAAATTGGATCTTCTCAAAACAGGCATGCCCCTTCTCACTTTTCACATGTACCCCTCAACATGTGCAAAGCCTAGTCTGTCCCTCATACTCTCAAAAGTTACACTTCCTAATATACATTAAATCTCTCAATGGGACATGGCATCCTAGTTTAGGGGTGTTCTGAGGTCAGAATCAAATGAAAATCATATCGTAAACACTAGAATACTGTCCACATAAAAGCTTAGGAAGAAACAAAAAATGCAAATGTAACTTCACTTTGCCCACTTATGATTGCAGTTCACATACTAATATTAAATATTCAAGCCTACACAGCTCTGCTAAAGATGCTTATATTCAATAGTATATTCCAATTAACTTATATTATGACCTTGGGCCAGTTCTTCTCTCAGCCTAGGAAGAAGGCAACGGCAAATCACTTCCAGAAACACTGCCAAAAAAACTGCAGGGACTTGTTTACTTAGTTGCCAGGAGTAAAAACTGACTTAAAGGGAACAAATAAACAACTGGGATGACTGCAGTGAAGGCTCAACCTTGAATTGCCATGAAACAAATTTGTATAAACAAACCTCCTCATCTAAACTTGGTGAGATTGGCATATAGAGAACCCTAGCCTCAATCCATGATATCTCCTATTAAAGGAACAATTTTTGGTTTTAATATCTTGGGAAGCTGCTATAGGACAGACTTGACAATACTCAAGGGAATAGGTATCAGTTATCTTAGTTTTATCATCTGGGGAAATGGCCAGTAAAGTGAATGTTAAGATTAAGTATGAATTTGAACATGGATTTCCAATTCTATATTACAATTTTATTTTACACTTTGATTGCTACTCTAAGGCCATAGGACTTTCAGCCCTTCAGGTAAACCAGGTCAGAAAACAGTAAAGATTTATGCTATTTTTGTAGGATATCAATAATATAATCTTGGAAGCCTACCAGAAGGCTTCTACTCCACAAGAATCCATATTTACAGGACTATGTTTTAGTAGCTTGCTAACAGACTTGGGCAATAGGCATTCATTTGGTTTCAGTTTGGATTATCCTTATTCTAAAAAGATGAGTTGCCTGATAAGATCATAAAAATATTGCCTCCAGTTTAGGACCAGATCATCCAAAATTTCTAGGTTTTATCAGTGTTCTGACCCCTTGCTTTTCTCACTAGACTCTTGTATGGTTGAGCCTTGAGCATCTTTGCAAGACAAGATTACAATAGTTATCTATTTCATGTAACCAACTTGGACAAACCAAGCCTAAATGTGTATAGACCAACTGAGCATATACACCATAAAACTGACTTAGCATTGTGATTTTCCAAAGTACCACGTGACACAGTAATTTTGATGGAGTCAAGTGGAATTGGCTACTAAGAGAGCAAAGCTATTTAGAATTTTATGTAAATCTCTCTGAATTGCTTGAATAAGTTGGCTTTGTAAGTCACCTTGAATTACTTTCTTTTCATGGGGGAAGATCAGAATATGAATGGAACAAACAAATGCAGCTTTCAATGTCAGTGACCTCAAGCATAGCATTCTCTATCATCTCAAAGGAAAAAAAAACACGACATTAAGTATATCTTATAGAAAGATTCCTTTTTCTTTTGCATCCACTATTTTACTATCCCAAATTAACTTTCTTCAAGATGCTACAATTCTAATGAGTTCATTGTGAGAGCTGATACATTGTCACTATGCAGTGACTCCAAATATACCATGCATAAGGCTGTAGAGAGGACTCTAGATCAATACTTTGATTTTAATAATGGAAAAAAGTTCACATAAGGCATAGTCTCCTGTCAACAGATTGCAATTTGAATTTGGGAATACATATGTGTTTGTGTGTTGGCATGTACACCCAGTTGATAGTTCTAACAACAATAGATAGGGAAAATAAATCTATGTAACAAACAAAAAGTTAACTCACCTGGCATCTGTTTGACAGTTTGGGGATAACTATATGTGAAGTTCACAATACCTTTTTCATAGCTTCTCCAAGACTGTGAGATGCCAACATCACCAGGCAGATGATCATCTAGGCATCCAGCAGATTATCATCTTCATAATGATACCATTCATGGCTAATTTTCCAGGATTGAAAATGAATTGTAGCTGCTGCGGCTTCCACCTTTGCTGCATAGCAACGAGAGCAGAAAGTCAATTAATTACCATCTTGGTGGAATTCAGAGGCCCTTTCATCTTCAGCTCAGTCGAGTGTGTAATGGAAAAAGGGAGAGAAACAGACCGCATTTGGCCAATAGGGAATTGAATGACAAAGTGAAAGATGAGCACTAGGGGAAAAAAAACAAGAGGGTGTACAATAGAAAGTGGGTGGACAGAAAATCTGATTGCATGAGTTCATTTTGTGCACTAGCTGAGTGGGAAGAAATAGTTGCTGATCACAAAATTACATTATTATGGAATTATATCATAATAAGCTTTATTTTTGTTTTAGTCTTACTATAGAATTTCAGAACATTCATTCTACCGATTCTTTATTATGTTGCTCCAATGCAGACACAATTCCTCATCTTGTTCCTAAACATCTCAAACACTTGCCTACTTGGCTTGAAGGGACTTCTTCTGGCCCTTAGCAAATCCAGCCCTTTGAAGACTGCTTTTACCTATGATCCCATATTGTACTTGAACATTAACATACTTTTTCTTTTCTTTCTCTGCCATTCTATTACTCATTAAGTCCTACCATGACATACTTTTACAGCATGCATTTATTTTTGACTTGGTAAAAATTCAAACAAATCAATATATTAGTTGGGATGTAGGTCTCAATACTTCAGTTACATTAGCATAGTAAAGAGCATTTATTTTTAAATATAAGTTAACCCTTTATTTTATAGCAAATTGACCAAGATGCTTATGAAAATATCACTTAGGGTTTTTTTAAAAAATTCAAATACATTCTATTCAAGTATTTTTAAAAAGAAGGGAGAAATGTCATGTCATTTGCTTAAGGTCACAATAATTATATAAGATGTTGACTCTATAATAACTCATTGATCCTTGAACTAATCTCTGAAGCAACAATTAATTCATCTGTAAGTAACATTTGAATTGGACAATAGAAATTTAACCTTGAATGAAATATTTGTCCCTATTCAAAACCAATGCTATGTATATCTCTTATCTTTTTGCTAATAATATGATTATATGCCTTCAATAGGTGAGTCTGCTTCAGTATAGTATTAGAACTGAGGGATGCTGTAAAGGATTCAAAGGAAAAAAATATTGACATGTAATTTGCAAAATGTTACAATACAATTTATGAAAGTGCATATTTCCAAAAGTAATAAAAATATTCCTGTTGGCAATAAAGAATATAACAGTGCAGGAGTTGCATTAAACTCTTGTGTGCACCTGTTTTACAAATAAGTGCTAATAAAATACTAATTTTATGAACTGGATGTTCCCATCTCAGCAAAAGCTTTATTTATAAAGCTGTTTCTAACATTTAATAGATTCTTTGCAGAGATGTTCATGAAGTGTAAAAATGTTCATGACATGTTGTGGGTCAATGTTTAACCTTGCTCCAATATTTTATTCAGAATATGCTTTGTAGGGGAACCTATGTGTATATATCTTGAATTTAAGCAAGAGTACCTTTACACGTTAACCATGATTTTGGATATAAATAAGCCATATGCAAAAATAAGCTTAGTGTAGGTGGGGCAAAAAAATATGGACAAACATTGGCAATGAGTTATGCTAGACAGTCTGATCAAGACAATCCTTAATAATCGAATATAGCTAAAGAACTTATACAAAAAATGGATATCTCACTGAGGAGAAAAAAAAATATTCTATCAACTTACAGTGCCTCCAGAAAACCAAATTCCTAAAAATAGAAGAAGGTGAAATTATGGTTTCATTCAATGTTATAGCATTCTTTAGATCATTAGATCCAGAACTACCAAAGACTCCATGGAAACAGTACTATATAACACGCCTTATCCAGCTAAAGACACTAAGATTGAAATATCTGGAATCATGACCTCATAAACCTCTGCCTCATTACTTATTTTCAGCTTAATGGACAAATCAGAGTACCACCCATGGGATCACCAGCCTCAGGACTCATAGCAGAGACAGTAATATAGCCTTAGAAACTAAGCACTCCCACACATACAGATAGTCCTCAAAGTACAACAGTTTATTTAGTGATCTTTCAAAGTTACAACATGAGTGAAACATGAATGAAAAAAGTGACTTATGACCATTTTTCACACTTACAACCACTGTATCCCCATGGTCACATGATCTAAAATTCAGATGCTTGGTAACTGACTCATATTTATGATAGTTGCAGTGTCCCAGGCCACGTGATCACCTTTGCGACCTTCTGACAAGCAAAGTCAATGGGGAAGCCAGATTCCTTTAACAACTGTATTACTAATTTAACAAATGCAGTGATTCACTGAACAATTGTAGCAAGAAAGGTGGTAAAATGGTGCAAAACTCACTTAACAAAAGTTTCATTTAGCAACAAAAATTTGGGGCTCAATTGTGGTTGTAAGTCAAGGACTACCTGTACAACCAAAAATATGGATCGGATACATAGCGGGCACTTTCATCATAAGAGAAAAGGAACAGTTAGACACATGAAACAATCCACATCATCATCAAAGGAATGAAATTTACAAGGAAAGAAGAAAATATCCAATCTCTATCTGCCCTAGATATTCTCATCACACGAGGAAACAATAGCAAATTAGAAATGCAATTTTATCGAAAAACTACCCATACTAACCAAGTGTTCCATTAGCAAAGTAACAATCCAAACTCCCACAAGAAGAGCTTTGTAAGAACATTATTCAGGCAAACACACACACACTGCATCAACAAAGAGATGGCATCTAGATCATGACAAGTAATAATGCCACTTTATTTTGCATTAGTGAGGCCATACTTAGAATAGTGCGCCCAATTCTGGTCACTACGATGTAAAAAAGATGCTAAGACACTAGAAAGTGTGCAGCGAAGAGCAACAAAAATGATAAGGACTCTGGAGGCTTAATTGTATGATGAACGGTTGCAGGAGCTAGGTATGTCCAGCCTATTGAAGAGAAGGATTAGGGGTAACATGATAGCTGTCTTCCAGTACTTGAAGGGCTATCCCAGAGAAGAAGGGATTGACTTATTCTCCAAAGCAACAGAGGGCAGAACTAGAAGTAATGGGCGGAAATGTGTTAAAGAGAGGACCAACCTGGAACTAAGGATAAATTTCCTGACAATAAGAACAATTAATTAATGGAATAGCTTGCCTCCCAGAGTTGTGGGTGCTCCATCTTGGTCAAATGGTTGTCCAGTCTATTCTTTAAAATAGACTGAACAACTATTTGATCAGGATGGTGTAAGGTCTCCTGCCTTAGTAGGAGGTTGGACTAGAATGCCTCCAAGGTCCCTTCCAGCCCTGTGATTCTATGTTCTACAATGTTCAAGAAGCTATTAAAGACCTGGCTATTCTCCATGGCTCCAAGGCAGAATATAAATTGAGCCTTTACTCAGTGGATTTTCATTGGTAATATGTTATTTTGAGGGGTGTTAATGGTTCTTAGTTTTTTTCTGATTTGCATTTTTAGTTTTAATTGTAAGTGCCCAGAATTATTGCTGTTGAGAAGCCTTTGCACTGTATAATGAACTAAAATACTTCCAAAGCAGCCTTTAAAAAGCCATTTTTAATGAATAACAAAGAGTGCACTTTAGGCAGTTGTATGAAGTATGACACTCTTCTTCCAACTTCTTTAACTTACTTCTTGACTATTGTGAGAAAGGGTGTTACTCCATATCCACCCTTGCATTTCTAATAACATCTGCAAAGTGAACACCTAATCTAAGGCTAACTTCACAAGAACACTTTTATCTGGTTTCTGAATTAACTTTGGTTTGCATAACTTGAAAAGTAGCCAAATGGACTGGATTTATACATTATATTTAGTAGTAAAACAAGGTAGGGAAAACATGCAGATCGTGCCCTTTGAATTCTTTACCAGAATCAGTCTTAGATGGTATCTGTATTTTCATCAGCATAATTGTGTGTGTAGGCAACATGTATGTATGTTTTCCTATTTTCCCTTTCTGTAGTGATTGTGTATTGATTGCATAGGGCAGTCTACATATCTGACCAGGAGGAGATACGTTGAGAGTGATATTCTGAACAGCTCCCTCCCTAGCTGCCTCAGCCATAGCAATGCATTGAGGGAGTTTTGCTGGAAGCTCAGCCCTTGGTCAGATACAGCCTAGTTTTTCTTTTGCAGGCTTCTCCTACATACAAATTTGGTTCCACTTTGTTTCATTTTCCAGAATTAATTTATTCATGGACAGATATGAATTGACAGATAGAGTTGCCAGTCCCCTTATATAATTGCTTTCCAACATTCCATTTCCATAGCCTCATTTCTAGAATAGAATAGAGCTGGAAGACCTTAGAGGTCTTCTAGTCCAGCCCCTTCCTCCTCTAAAGCAGGAGAACCTATACCATCTCAGACAAGTGACTGTCCAGTCTCTTCTTAAAAACCTCCAGTGATGGAGCATCCATGATTTCTGAAAGCAAGCTGTTCCACTGGTTAATTGTCCTCACTGTCAGGAACTTTCTCCTTAATTCCATTCTCCTTGATACACCTTTTTTTTTTTTTTTTTGCATTGCATAGATGATGCTTCTTTCCTTGTGAAGGGGAAACAAGTCTGTGATTTTTCTTACTGAAATGCTGAAAGATAGAAATAGTTGTAAACTAATTGAAATATATAGAATAAGATAAGTTTTAAGTAAATAAGTAGGAATAGATGTAGTATTAACTTTGAATGTAAGATTGGAATAATTACAAACACTTTAATTTTGTATAACAAGACAATCCTTAATGAAGCAAAAATAAAGGAACCAGTTGGAAATAACTCTAACAAGGTACCATTATTTGGAGATTTAGATCAATTCATGAGCTCAGTTGTGCCTCCATGTGGTTCATTTGCCTTTTAATTAGCAATCATTGTGACAGTCAGGGTAATATTTAATATTTTGGAGTGGTGGCAGTAATGGGGAGGCAAGACTTGCCAATTTTGTTTTGCTACTCTTTGTGTACTGAATCTCAAAGTAATGGTAGGCTACTTAGCTATTAAATGCATGCTGAGTTAAAATAACTGGTCATAAGAAGGGTGGGGCAATGTTCATAGATCAGAGCCATCAATTAAATTCTGTAAATGTCAGAAACATGAAAAACACTTCCCATGAAGTGTCTGCCATGCTTATAGTAATGGTGGAGGAAAGGAATTCTTGAGGGCCTGACTTAGGATCAAGGAGTTGGAAGGACCTGCGACTGATCACATCATTTGACATCTAAAGCTTAGCCAAAAAGAGGGAAAAGTTGAAAATGACTCTGAACTTTGATACTATCTGAAAGAAAGAGCAAGGTGAATCTTATTCATATCTATTTACTGAATAGTAGTGCACTATTCTCACTTGCAGATCTCAATTCTAATGTGGCCAATAATGAGGTTCATCCAACCTAACAAGCTTTGTTCCTGGGTTGCACTAAGCTTGTGTAGATGGATGTTAGAAACCACTTTCCATTGACTGTATATGATGCTGAAAAACAGCAAGATTGTACAATGTATGATTTGATATCAATGTACCTATAGCAGAGGTTGTGAAAAAAGTTGTGAGGTGACTCTGGGAGACACTCCCTGTGGGCTAGTAACATATGGTTTTCAGAGCACTGAGCATTTGCCTTTTGACCCAGTCATTGCAGCTACATAGAAAACCCATCACTTTTCAAATTGCTTCTCTGCACACAAAAATGCTTAGCCTGAAGGAACAATACAGTGGTGCATTATTTTTGGTGGAGTTTTATTGATGCTTTATACATAATATTATGCAGCTGTTCTTTAGTGAACTTTGACAATAAGAATGTTGTACCTTTCTTCTCTATCTCTACACAGTACATTTATATTTGGTTTTTTTACATTTATTTCCTGTTGTTTCATATACAAATATTTAAAGCAACTTATGTTAGGGTTATTTGTTAGTCAACCAGCAATGTCATAATAAGAGAATATGCAGTTAAAAAATGAAATACTATTCAACAGAATATGAGTATACTGAAAGATTTAAAGTTTTTGTTAATTTGGAGAAAATATATTCCATAGGAACAACTTCATTTGTACTCTAAATACTAACTCTCAGTAGCTTACATTATAATTGCAATTTATAAAATGAATTATGCTTTTCCTAAAGACATTTTTAAAATTATTCACGGGGTTTATGGACCTTTTGTTCATTGATTGAACAACCTCAAGGCAGGCGATTAGTTTTTTGTATGGGAAAGAAAGATCATAAATGCAAATAATAAAGTTAATAATTTAAATAATAGGGATATGTGGCATTGATATGGAAAAGCAGAATCCACCACTGCAATGCCAGGGGAATGGACCTTTTGTCTCCAAAAGGCAATGAAGATTAAGAATAGCCTTCAGATTAGAAAGAGTTGGGCATTACTGTTCAAAGTATTCATGAATGACAGCACTCAAAACCCTGTATAGCCTAGCAATGGGTGAGGGATGATGGAAGCTGTAGTTCTTCAATAATTGAGAGAACATAGGTATCCAATCCCTCCCATGGAGTGTTGTAAGTATTTATCTTGGTTGATCTTAGCCAAGAGAACTAAGTTCTATGGATACTTCTGACAGAAGTGCTCATTTAGATAGTAAACGTAAAGGTTTCTCTGTCCAGTCATATCAGACTTTAGGGGTGGTGCTCATCTCCATTTCTTAGCCAAGTGAGCCTGCATTGTCTGAAGACTCTTTCCATGGTCATGGGGCCAATATGATTATATGCTAAGGCTCACAGAACGCTGTTACTTCCTCACCAAAGTGGTACCTATTTATCTACTTGCATTTTCATGCTTTCGAAGTACTAGGTGGGCAGGAGCTGGGGGAAAGTAATGGGAGTCAGCATCCAGGTCTATCAGCTTTTTAGCTCAGTATATTTAACCACTGAGCCATCGCATCCCCTCCATTTAGATAGTATGGCTCAAGCCACTCAGAGTCATTTGCAGCTGAGTTGGCTTCTAAATTCTAGTTGTGCATTTGTGTGTATAGTGAAACTGCTGTATATAATTGAAGTGTTATTGGAGTGAAGAAAATAACAGTATCATTGATTCCTTCCCATTCATGTAATGTTTGTTGGTGGTTATGAGAACTACAAATTCAAAACAAAATAAAAAATAAGCTCTAATATTCGCTTCCCAGAAGCAAATACATTTTGCCTGAAAACGCATAAAAGAAAACAATGGTTCATACATTTGCCAGAACTAGTGGCAAGCATTTTCTTGGTTTATAATCTTCCTTGCTACCATCCCCCCAGTCCATCCTGTGCCACGGAGGGTCAAGCCTTCTGTGGTTTTATTCCCGATCTGCAGAGCACAGTGTGCTTTGAGGAGATAAGGGCAAAGCCATTAACCCCTTGGAGGTCTTTGTAAAACAGCTTATCACTCTGCCCTTTGAAATGTGATTGGCTTGCTGGGAGGATTCAGGTGGGATTTACATTTTAAACTAGAAAACTGTGGGTCATATGATTTTTCTTTCCCTTCAAGAATACTGACATAGACTTTGTTTAAGAAATATAACTAACCATTAAGTGCTGCATAAAAGAAGAGGAAAAGTTGCATCTTCTTTTTTATTCCCTCCACTCCTTGGCTTGTTTTAGATCTCCCTAAATGCCTCTAGGTATTTAAATCTCCTAAGGACACTTGATTCCACACATCAACACACAAGCATTGGGGAATCCAAAGGGTTTGCAAATGGTTTTTGTTTGCCTCACACTAGTTCCATTCTGAAATTGTTTTCTAATCAGAGGTACACTCAAGAGAGTTAATAACCTTTGAGCAATATTGGCATGCGGCATTTTCAGAGTAATTATTAGTTAGCAGGAGAATGAGTGATATGGCCTGCTTATTTACCCTTACCCTTTTCTAAAGCTCATCTGTTCTCCACTTGCTAAGGGGATGGTGTACTGATGGCAAACCATGTAATCATGGCAAACAAAATACTTTCCCATCTTTCTGTTCCTTCCTTCCTTCCTCCCTCCCTCCCTCCCTCCCTCCCTCCCTCCCTCCCTCTGATTACATTTTCTATAAGAAATGTGGTGGTAATAATAATAATATATGAGGTATGCTAGCAGTAAAAATGTAGGAAATTTTAGAAACACAATATGAAAGATATAAACACTGTTGATTGAAAAATACATTTCCATTGATATCAATAGGTCATTTTACTCTGCCTTTCAAGGAAGTCATCTACACAATCTCAACTCCTCTCCCCTTCATCTCATTGTATCTAAATCTCACACATCAACCAAGCAATTTCATGCATCCGAGGAAGTGGGCTGCAGCTCTTGAAAAGGTGAACTTCAAGAGGGGCGACCGGACTCTTCCGAATATGAACGGAAAAGGGGAAACAGTACTGCTGTGTCAGCTTAGAGTCCTCTGGACTGGTTCGATTACAAGTTCCATAATGACCAGAGACTGCTGATGGAAGCTGCCATGCAGCCATCTGGGGGGTGCCAAAACGCGAAAGCAGCTCTTATAGGTAGCTCCAGCTCTTATAGGTAGTTCCAGCCACGTTTCTCTCCGCCCTTTTTTGCCCCCGGGTTTCTCAGACTCCACTCCCTCTTCCGCCGCTCAGGGGTCCCCTCGCCGACCCCCTCTTGGTCTCCCCCCTCCGCCGACCCCCGGAAAGGCTTCTGGCTTACCCGAGAGTTCAGTGCCCCTGGGTGGTGGGATGCCTTCCGAGTGAAACGCCCGAAACTGCGGCGGGAAGAGATTGCCAGGCTGCTGCTGGAAAAGGGGCTGGGCGACTCACTCACCCGGCGGGAGAGGGTTGGGCGTGGGGGGGGGGGCGCGGGATGCCGAGCTTCTTCTTTTGCAACCTGGCTGGTGGCGAACGAGCGCAGTTGGCGTAATCTAAGCAAGGCTGGAGGCAGCTTCTGCGTTTAGAGTGGGAAGGAAGGAAGGAAAGGAAAGGAAAGGAAAGGAAAGGAAAGGAAGGAAGGAAGGAAGGAAGGAAGGAAGGAAGGAAGGAAGGAAGGAAGGAAGGAAGGAAGGAAGGAAGATTTGCTTTTTGCTCCGACGAACTTCTTTTCCTCGGAAACCGCGGCAACCGCCCTCGATTCTGCCCCAGACAATACACCAGCTCAACCGCGCGCAATAATTTGCTCTGCTTTGCGGGGAAGCTTGCAGCATTTGCGGTCCGTGTCTCTTTGCGGAGCGCCAGCGGCGGGCGAGGAGGTCTGTCTCGGCCACCGAGAGAGGGGAAAGGCTTCCGCGTTCGGGGGTGAGTTACGCAGCCCCCGGCTACAGCTGTCTCTCCTTGGAGGGGGATCCCGGCCAGGTATCCCGAGAAGAAAGTCCGAAGAATTCAAGAAGTAACTCCCCGGTAGTTGTCTACTCTCGAGGCTTTGCTACCGAAGCAAAGAGGGAGCAGGAGCTCGGCCCTTGGCTACAAATCGCCGCGGCTTTTGCCTTTGTTTTCGCAGGGCTCCGAACGCAGGTTCGCCTCGTCCTTCCGAAGTCGGAGTCAAAGGGAATGGACTAGAACTCCTTTCCTAACCTGCTGTCCCTCCCATTTCCTCCCTTTCCCGGGTAGTCGGTCTTAAGCAAGGCTAAAGCTTCCGAGAGTTCAACGTCTAGTGCCCTGATGGACCTTCCGCGGATCTTTCTTGCCCATCAGTAGGACGGGGTTTTGCCGCGGTGTTCTTCCGGTCTGGTTTTTCCGACCACTTTACATTCCTGGGATTTCCTGGCCGTGTCTAGATTTTAACCAGGTGACACTTGGTTTAGTTTCTCAAGTTTTTCCCCCCAGGGTGGAGTTCCTTAATTCGCAGTCAGCGTCGTCAACCTGCTGACTGCGAATTATGGAAGTTTGCCGTCCAACAAACCCGGGGAAGCAGCTGATTGGGGGGGGGGAACGATGTAAAAACTGGCGCCATCATTCTAAACCCCTTTGCTTTGGTCAGATCCAGCTTTCCGTCGTTGAATGAACCTCTTCCTCTGAAAAAGCAGCGCCCGCCAATCTTGTGAGCTTTAGCTGAGTTTTCTTATCTGCTTGGTCCGTGTCGGTTGAGCCTGGCGGTGGGGCTTTTAGAGTTTTATTTCATTTCATTATCGCTCTGCAGGCCACTTTAGCTGACTGTGTTCAGCAGGTCAGCGGTTCAAATCTCACCGGCTCAAGGTTGACTCAGCCTTCCATCCTTCCGAGGTAGGTAAAATGAGGACCCAGATTGTTGGGGGCAATGTAAATATATATATACATTGCTTACTGGTGTACACCGCTTAGAGAGTGCTTGCACTTAAAGCGGTATATAAGTCTCATAAATAAATAAATAAATAAATTTTACTGTGCAAGAAACAAAGAAAAAACTAACGTGCTTCAAACAGCGTGTTTGGCAATTAGAAACAACCTTGTGGTGCTGGTTCCCTGGCGACTATGTCGACGCCAGCGAAGTAGGTCATTCTTGGCCAAGGCGAGGAAGTATTTCGCCATCGCTATTTTTCGGAGATAGACTTTTCAGTCCATTTCCAGGCAGCCTCGCATTTAATGATAATACTCCATCCAAACCTTAACTTGGCTCCCGAGCCCCAAACAAAGGAAATACGGAGTTTAACCCGTTCTAGCTGGTGCTTCTAAACAGGCACTCTTAAGACTCAATCGATTTCCTTTTAATTTTTAAACGCACCTCAGACTGTTGGGGAGAGAAAGAGAGCTTTGCCCGATAAATTAATCTGAACTAAGTTTAGATGGGAGTTGCACGGGCGCTATTTACAATCTAAACACGTAGGGAAAGTCAATTATTTAAATTGGAAGCCAAATTGGTCCCACTCTCCAAATAGCATCTAAAAGCTCCCCCCCTCCTCTCGTGCCTTTTTCAGGGACGAAATTGAGACAAAGCAGAGAAAAAGATTGTTAATGCCTGTGAATTAATGGAGGCACTTAATGGCTGTATTTATACATTAGGCTTAACCTGGCTGGTGTTTTAACTCATCTTCAGGGTTTGCACAATACATTGGACTAAAAATTCTACCTAACCAAGCGGCTTGGATTTGCAAAAAAAAAAAAAAAAAAAAAAAGCTAAGGCGGATAAAAACTAAACCGCTTAGCCAATTTGTGCGAAAGCCCCAACTAAATTTGAAACCGGCCTTGTCCAGGGCGTTATACAAACAACAGCGTCCGCATTGACTGCATTGCGATTAGACATTTGGAAGACGATCAGAGAGGCCGGTTGGGTCCTCCTTAGGGTGAGAAGTTTCTGAAACTTTAAGCCAGCTGTCGCGTTCCGAGCAATTCCTTTAATCAATGTCAAGGTTATAACAATTCAGATGGAGAACCTTGCGTCGCTTCAGTTTAAAGCCTAAGGCAGTGTTTCCCAAACTTGACAATTTTAAGGCATGAGGACTTCAACTCCCAGAATTCCACAGCCAGCGTTGCTGGCTGTGGAATTCTGGGAGTTGAAGTCCACATGCCTTAAAATTGTCAAGTTTGGGAAACACTGGCCTAAGGCATCGACTCGCTAGGACAAAGAGCAGACAGACCATTTCCTCCACTTCTGCTTCTAGCACGGACAGCTCTAGAAAATGTCGGAGTCAAGTAACAAACTACTGAAATAAGAACCGTAGGGGAAACGCTCAGCCTCGGAAGAGAAGAAGGTGGAATGAGGTTGCTGCGAGCTGCTTCTTTGTTTGTGAACTAGAAGGCTACTGCAGCAAAGAAAGGAAGATGGGGGAGGGATAAACGCGAGAGAGGGGAACGCATTGGGGGGGGTGGGAGCACCGACGTCATCGAACAAAGAATACCTAATGAAGACAATGGGGCTTTCCCCATTTAGAATTCGCGGAAAATTTGGGCGGGGGGGGGGAGAAAGTGACTTTGACCTTTCCAAGTCAACCCTATTGTCTGGGGGCTAGAAGTAAGACGCTATTTATTCCGAATCGTTCTTTCATACCACAACAGATTTTAAGTATGCAATATAATAAATAATGTATGTTTCCCCATTTGGGGTGAGCGTGGTTATAATCATATGTAAAACTTCTGATGAACATGTCTACTGAGTTTTGGTTTTATTAGAAAATATACCTAATTTAACTTTCTTTGGTGTGGGAAGACAGAGAAGGGAAGAACGAGAAGAATGCTATTCTTTTTTTGGTCACAGGGATGGGCTATTCAGTTCCATGCCCATCGGATGGATTTGCCCATTAGAAGTGTGTATTAAAATTTGTCTGAGAAAGGTAATGTTGTTCCTTACAATTGTTCAGCTGTGTATTTATTTAAAAATATTTAAAGTTTAAAAGTAGGACTGTTGACAACTAAAAGACCAATTAAATTAATACTTATAGAGCTGCATAATAAAAAGGATGCGGGGGGGTAGGTGAGGGGGCACTGTGGTTTTGTTTTAGAAATGTTTTGACCAATGTAAGAATTTGCCAGACTGTTTTTCCTTAGGTTCGCTGCAAGGTGGGGTGTGCATGCGTGAGGATACTGCACTGTCATTTCACAATGGGAATTAAAATTTGGATGCGGTTTGACTGCTCCTTTAGTTCACATGCCTGCTGGCTATTTCTAAATATGGAGCGGAAGAAAAAAAAAAACCCAAACCGCCTGCGCTTCTCTTCCCCGACCTATTTGTGCAACGATATGTGATAATTCCTTCTTCCAAGCAAAGCTGGAGATCGCTTTGGCTAAACTGCCCTTACATCTCTTTCCCTTTTCTCTCCTTTCTAATTAAACGGATGCCGAGAAGGCTATTTTTAAAATGGAAAAAATTAGCTATATTACTTGTAAATTTCAGCCAAGTGTAACCGGGGCTATATAAATCTTTATGTAACTCAACAAGTACCTTTAAAAAACAAATATTTTTATTCTACTTTTATTACTTTATAAATAACTCAAGGCAGTGAACATATCAAACAGTCCTTTCTCTCCCTCTTTTCCCAACAACAACCCTGTGGGGTGCATTGGAGGCAGAGAGGGAGGGAGGGAGGGAGAAACAGAGAGAGAGATTGGCCCCAAATCACCCAGACGGCTGATCTGGTTAATGCAGAAATAGGACTAACGGTCTTCCGGATTTCTAGTCTGGTGTAACCTTGGAATCTTTCTGAAACCAGGAATCTGTTTTTGAATAATGGCAACTATTTTGAATCTTACTGCTTTAAAAAACTCAGCCCACAATGATATAATTTTCTATGATTCTTATCTATCTATCTATCTATCTATCTATCTATCTATCTATCTATCTATCTATCTATCTATCTATCTATCTATCTATCTATCTATGGCTTTACGGAAAAAATATTTAATAAAGTGAAACATTTTATTAGTTTATATGGCATTTTATATCAGCCTACTTCAAAAGATTCCGAGACGTTTATTAATTTATATGTGGAATAATTCGTTGAGTCCACAGGACCAGGACCAGGGGAAGAACGAAAACTCCGACATCCAGTCCATCTTCCACTCTTGCACATTGCAATTTTATTCCTATGAACTCCCTGTCTACAGTTTCTCGCGATTATACATGGATCGGGAGAAATGCGACGAGCATGGTTTCTTTTCTCCTTTGTCTTTCTTTTGTTCAAAACGCACAATCAAAACCTTTCCTCTGAAACTGAATCCGGTTTCGAAAACACGTTTCAGTATTTCGAGAAAACGTATCGTCAGAATGGAGGGCACGATCCTATTTCAAGGAAGACATAATTGTCTGTTAATAAATGAGGGAGTGATTGGGAAGAGGGGAAAGCCACCAAATCATATGAGCCCCGAGTTGACTAAAAGTGCGGAAGGTGCTTTCAATTTC